ATTATTTTTATGACGGTTTTGCCCTTCCTCCACATACATGTGACCATGTGGATGTGTCAGTCCTTCATTTTCGTTAAAAGCTCTCTCTCTCTCTCTCTCTCTCTCTCTCTCTCTCTCAATTTTTTGATGATATCAATTTTCTGGGTTTTAGATTCGACGGCGTGTTAGCGGTTAACAAATATTGTAGACCATAACAGAAATGTTAGTTGTTAACAATTATTTTTACCCTTCGCGTTAATAAATGTGTTCAATGTTAACAAATATTGTAGACGTTAACAGAAGTGTTAACTGTTAACAATTATTTTTACGCTTCACGGTAATAAATGTTTTGGCTGTTAACAAATATTGTAGACGTTAACAGAAGTGTTATATGTTAACAAATGTTTTTACGCTTTGTGTTAATGAGAGGAAATAGAAAGGGCATTCTCGGCATTTCCTTGCCAAATGGTTGTGTCAGTGTCCTTCATGTCCAATCAATGGTATTTTGCTAATTTGAGCTTCAAATATGGGTAGTTCACTAAATCACTCTTTTATTATCCTGAGTTATTTTTTTTCCACTTCATGCTTCATCTCATGTTTTTCTCTCCTTCCATCGTCTGTTCTTCTTCTCCATTAACAATATCAATTACAAAAACCATTCTCTGCTCACGATAGATACAACTTTTTCAGCTGTTATGAGATATATTTTTCTCCATCATTATAGATCTAGGCGTAAGGGTTGAACGTCAACAGAGGAGAACGGTAACTTCTGACAACTGTTTCAGCTGCACTTCAGACATGAGTTTTAGATTTCATCTAAAAACTAGGAAATGTCAATGTCTATATTTGTGTGTTAGTTGGTATGTTGTCTTGTTTCGTTGGTTTTCACACGTTTATGGGTTTAGTTGGGGTGTAGAAACGTAAGTAAGTGTGTTGCTGTAAGATGATGCCAAATATACCAGCTGAAAGATTAGGAAAATATGACTATACTACATAAGCAACATAAATAGTATAGGATGTTATGCCGTATAGTTCACATTTTTCTGGACTATTCAATTAAATAGTATAGAACCCTTCTCTCATGTCTACTATATCTGTTGTTTATGTTCATATGAATAGGCCCCCTATGCATTTTGGTTTTTGCACTTGGTACGATTTTATTTAGGCTCTCACACTGTTTATTTTCATTGGATGTGCGGATCAGAAAACACAATGTATGTGGTATAAGGCCAGCTTATTGGAGGCTCGCGATATCATACACAACCAATGAGACGAAATTAGACAGCTCAAAGCAATTAACAATGAATTACTACGTGAGAGAAATTACGTTCACGAAGGCCTTAATGCTTCTGATGTTCGATGATGATTAGAAGCTTCAAATCGAAGTTCTTAAGGCTGATGAGAGAGAAATTCCTTTGAAAATTTATTTCCATTTCCTGGACGGGGGTTTTCGTAGCCACTGCTATCAGTGGCTCGAGGGTTTAGAAGTAACTCATCAAAGAATGGTTTTCCCCCGCAGTTTTCTTGTACTCGTTTTTACTTTATATTGTCATGAAGTCTTTTGGATTGCCGCAAAAAATCTACCATGTTTTTCTTCTCTTATCTTTCATTTATTTGTGGCTTAAATCTTCTGTTCCCGTTTGTTTGCTTACGTTCATTAATTGTCTTCTCTTCTGTGTGTCTATACAGCCTTGGTCCATGTCATAACATTAAGACCACCAATTTTTATGAATGCATGTATTGAGGATCTGACTTCCTTATCTAAACTATACCATATATCGTATAGTATAGTTTTTTTGGGTCACCTCCTACCTATATATTTGAAACCTTATTCAACCTCATATAAGAAGGTGGAAACAAAGCGAACTTAGAGGTCTGTGGTTATAACCAAAATGTGGGGGCATACTACATTGAATATAGTATATTCTCATCTCCGTGCATGGGTATATTGCACATTTTCGGGCCCCTTATGAATACATAATTATCAATTGTTGTGTGTGTGTGTCATAACAATTATAGTTCCTTTATTTGTAGGATGGATGAGTTAGACTTGCATGTGAATTTTTATCAGACATGGTACCAATTGGTAGGAAAAGAATAAACAACTTCAATTTTTGAGAGATAGAGTGATAAAAACAACCCCTTTCCAATGCTCAGATGGAGCAGTTGGCGGAATCATAGTTCAAAACGCTAATAGGAACGTATACATTTTCAGTCATGTTTGTCCGCTTTTTCCTTTGTCTAGTCGCACAATGTAACAAATATGAATATTCCTATGTATTTTAAGCGATAAAGAAGTAAGATTGTACTGTGACATATTAGAGAAATTGCATTACTATACTATAACTTTTTTAATATAGTGTAAATGTCAATTGACATACACAACTTCTATATGAGATTCTGCCACCCCCATAAGTTTACTAGTTGTAGTCTTTGTTTCTTATAGCGGTAACTAAGACATTGTCTCAATTGATAAATTCCATTGTGGTTAATTCTTGTGCATAAATAAATAGGTCATTTGTTTCCATTAGACAATATTATACTATATGTTGTATAATATAGTAATGTATGGTGTTATGTGTTGCCTAAGATTATACTATATGATATATAGTATAGTAATATTTGGTAGTTGTTCGTTTCATGTTGTGTCAATATGTTCCTAATATTTTACAATCTTCTAATTTTGTGTCATTTACATCAAAAAATTTCTAATGCATATTTTATTGAATCAAAGTTAACATGCGTCTATCAGAGCCACCCTTTTGGTGTTTATTGTTCGTGCAAATTTATGTAATATTGGGGGTTATTACTATCTGACCATACACTACGACTTGTCATGTTGTTTAGTTAGTCAGCTTCTTCAATACATTTAGTTTGTTAAATGCAATTTCGTATATAGCTGCCTTCACAAAATTCAGTTCCCCTATCATTTGTTTTATCATAGTTTCTTCTTACATCTTACAATACATTTCTCAACACATAGTCTCCATCTGTTATATATTCTTCTACAACACAAATCCAACTAGAACTATATACACCTTCAAGGTGAGCTAATATGTGTAAGATAATGCGTTAAGTGTGCATATTCTTAGTTTAATGGAAGATATAATGATTATCAGCTACATAAAGCAATAAACGAGAACTTATCTTTATAATTGAACAAAATTGTGTTATAATAGATATGTGACTTAAAGAAAGAAGAGAATGGAATACATGTCTTTAGCTTTTCATATCATTTTTCATGCGCCGGCAGAGAGACAATGGGCACAATTGTGTTATAACTGTCTCATCAATTTCATGTAACTGTAGTATTGGCTACATTCTTCATTTTCATGCCTCCTATGAATATTAGGCAAATTCACCATACTTATTTATATTTTTATTAAAATGGTAAAGCATTTTTTTTTCAAAACCACACTTCTCAAATCTGAAATTTAAGTTTAAATTAGTTAATTCAAGGATTATTAATGTCTATTTATTTCTTTAAAATCAAGGATAGATATGTTTAAGATAAAGATAAAAAAGAGGCCAATTTCTTCAAATAAACTTTTTTGAAAAAAAATTATCACAAAAATAAACCTCAAAAACTAAAATGAACAAAATAACATTTTTTATTTTGAAAATTATAAATTTTTTTATTTTTTTAAATTAGAAATTCTATCCATAAAATCGCACTTCTCAACTCTAAACAAAAAAAAACAATATCGGATTAGTTAACCCAAAGGGTTTAAGTGTATATTCACTTATTTTTTAATAAAATATTTAAGTCTATTTTGGTCATTTTCATTTTTAATGTATATATTTGTGACAAAAAAAAACTAAGGTCTATCACAGAAAATTTCTAAAAAAAGATACTGCTAGTGTTGATAATTTCTCAACACAAAAATTACTTAATTTTTCAATTATTTCTCTTATTTTTACTATTTTCTTTGTATTTCATCTGTAAAAACAAAATTTGGTTTAATTTTTAACATTTAGAAAAGAAATAAAAGACTTTGGAATTCTTTTCATCTCCCACCTAAGTAAAAACAAAGGAGAAAATAATCATTTGACATTAGTAGTAATCTGAAAAACAAAAAGAAAATATCAATTATTTAACCACTAATCCTAATCACACTATGCTAATCCCAAAACCTCGACGACTTGCGATAAACCACGTGAAAGAATAAAGAGTCTTACGTTCCTCACCTACTAATAGGAGAAGAGAAGAGATATCGTTAAGGAGTTATTCTTAGGTTCATCCAATAGGATTGCATTATTTCATATTTGATATCTTTTAAAAAAAGAAACAAAATCCTGTTAAATTATTTATGTCTTTAAAAATAAAAATACAAAAATAAATAATAAATAATAATATTAATAAAAAAGAAAAGCATTTTTAAAAAAAATATATTAACACTAAACCCTAACTCTAATCCTAAACCCTAAATCATTGGGTAAATCATAAATTTTTAGATAACTTTTATAAAAAAAATTTTAAAAAATTATTTTAACACTAAAACACTAAACCCTAAACTCTAATCCTAAACCCTAAACCCTTGGGTAAATCATAAACACTAAACCCTAAACCCTAATCCTAAACCCTAAACCCTTGGGTAAATCATAAACCCTATGAAAAATTTTAAACATTAAATCAATAAAATTAATACTAACCAATTATACTGTTTTTTTATTTATTTTTATCTTATTTTTCGATTTTTAAATATTAAATCAATAAATTTAATATAATGTAACAATATTGTGTTTTCATTTTAAAGATATATTAAAATATTTTTTAAAATTGTTTTTTGCAATTATTACTGTTTTTGTTTTATTTTTATCTTTTCAATTTAAAAACATAATATAATGTTAAAATATTTTTTTTTAAATTAAATTTTGTTTTTTTTAATATTATTATTTTATTTATTTTTATTTTATAAACATAATATAACTTAACAAGATTTTATTTACTTTTTTAAAAGATATCAAATATGAAATAACACCATCCTATTGGTTGGTGAACGTTCCTGTTGCAGAGTCACATGGCTTCTCTGGACTTACATCTTTGTCATGTTATCTTGATTCTCCTCGTCTTCTCAATATCGGCGTTGGCCTTTGTCGTTACTAACAAAGGCGCAGGCAAGAAGATTTCTGGGAGAGGGTATAAAGAGTATAGACTTGGAGATTACTCTAACTGGTTGCAGAAACGTGTGAACAGTGACAAGAACTGGAGTAAGATTAGGAGTTGTCTTGTTGACAGCAAGGTTTGTTCTAAGCTTGAAGCTAAGCTTGTTGGTGTTCCTGTTAACAACTTCTACAACGAACATCTTACTGCCCTTCAGGTAAACGATTCTTAATGCTTTAGTTTTGGTTGGATTCATGGATCTGATTTCTTACTGTCTTGAAGTTTCTCTGCTTTTTAGGGTTTTAGGTTTGATAATATTGTGATGGAAGCCTGAAAGGGTTTAACCTTTTCGATCTTTAAAGTTGCTTTTTTCTCATTCACAGAGCTTTTGATTCTGTTCACATGTGTCTAAAGATCCAAACATCTTATATTTAGTAAAAGGTTTCAGAAATTGAGAATCTTGTTTTACGAATATGGACTATTGACATTAGACACAAGAACATATTTTCTGTGTGAATGTTGCTCTGTCTTGCAGCTGCAACTAACCAACGGATCATTATTTTGTGTTATAGTCTGGTTGCTGCAAACCCTCAGAACAGTGCCAATATACTTACATAAGCGCCACAAATTGGACCAAGACGGCTGGAACACACCCTAATTCAGACTGCCAAAGCTGGGACAACGCACCAAACAAGCTCTGCTTCGATTGCCAATCTTGCAAAGCGGGTCTTCTCGACAACATCAAGAGCGCATGGAAGAAAGTTGCAGTAGTCAACATCATATTCCTTGTCTTCCTTATCATTGTCTACTCTGTTGGTTGCTGTGATTTGAGGAACAACAAGAGAGATGACAGTTATGACTACGGATATAAGATTTATGGATTTAAATCTTGGTGTTTTGAGACCTATTGCTTGTACAGCTCTCTTATGATACTTGTTAGTGTGTTCTGGCTAAACCATGCATTGATTATTGGGGTGTTTGCCAAAATTAATCCACAAGTTGATTTAAATCCAAATACTAGAACCAACCTTGAATCAAATGCAAATCTAACCTAAAAGTCTTATGAAATTACAGCATAGTTCCTTGTGACCAAACAAAAAAACAGAAGATATGTTTACGAATATAGCCCTAGTAAGTTGTTTGAGTCGTTTGAGATGTTTTTCAGTCGTCTGGACGACTGAAATATAAGTCGTCTTGACGAATGAATCTTAAAATGTAATTTATAAATAATTATTTATCATTAATATAAAAATAATTAATAAATAATTATTTGATAGTAATTTTTCTTTTTTAAATCGTAAACAAAAGATAGATACAAATATCTGCAAGTAATTGTCATTTTATAAAAAATCCTAATTTCCATTTTTTATATCCTACACAAAGATAATTATAAAATAATTTTTTTTAAAAAAAAACACTAATCATGTATAAGACATGTGTCAGTAAATAAACTAAAAGTAATTATAAATGACTGTTGAGTGGAGTTGAACCCAATATTTGTGGGTTCAATACATCACTTTCCTACCACTGCACCACAATTTTTTTCAAACAAAATACCATATTAAATTGAAAACCCTAGACGACCCTCTTGCTCTCCTGCGCCGCATGACTCTGTCGTCGGCATGATGGTAGCGCCGCCCGCCCCTGGGGGTCCAGACCTCCCCCCAATCCCCTGCTAAGGTCTACACAATCTCGCCCCAGTCCTCCCAGAAAGATCTCTACTCCGTAGCCGCATCTGATCAGTCTGAGCCATCGTTTCACTTCTCACCAGAAGTTGAGATGCATGAAAGTGTTGTTATCGTCGATCTATCAGAAGAAGTCACGACTGATTCAAAACCCTTGTGAACGTTCTATGTTGTAGGCCACTTCATCGGCGATGCCCCCCACATCGGTAAAGTGCACGCCACGGTCAATCGTCTCTGGACCTCGAAGGAGAAGCCAGCCATGATTGATTCTCAGTTTATTGCTCCGAAAACAGTTCTGCTCGGTATTGAGGACAAGCAGACGAAGGCCAGAGTTCTTCGACGTATTTTCTGGCACATAGCTGAGATTCCACTTGTTTTCCAAGAGTGGACACCAGACACCGAAGCCTCAAAACCAGACCTTACAGGCATTCTCCTCTGGGTTGATTTGAAAGGAGTTCCTGGACATCTTTTCTCTCAGTTAGGCCTCATTTTTTTTGGTGACACAATCGGTAGAACAGTCAAGCTTCATCCCAACATAGTACGGTGCAGACGTCTTGATGTTGCTCGCCTCTTGGCGGTTATGAATTTGGAGAAACCTTTACCGGAAAGTATCTTGATAAGAGGTACTTCAACGACAATCAAAGTAACTTACCCTTGGTTGCCACCACGTTGCTCCCTATGTCAGCAATGGGGACATACTGATAAGGAATGTGTTAAGGTGAAGGAAATTAACTCGGATACTCGCAAAGAAAAGAATCACACTCAGAAAGCAAAACAGAATGAGAAGATTGTGGAGGACACGGTCGTAAAGAGTCTGGAAGCTGCACATGACAGTGACAGAGGAGCTCGTGTCCCAAATGACAATGCTGATGATACACCGCATACTTCCATGGAGGATTGGAAACAGGTGGGTGACAAGCATAAAGCTTCACCTCTCCGTGCCACTGTAACAAACAAAACAGCGAATGCCATGCATACTGGTTCACCATCACGTTTCCAACTACTCGGTGATGTAGAGGAGGGAGAAGTTGAGGCTAGTAGCTCTGAAGAAGATGATGCTGAGGAACCTGCAGTGACTCAAAAAGACACTACGGCCAATCAGAAAATTGAGGACAAGACAAAGAAAACAGCAAAAAACAGAGCAAATATGAGTCAACAAACCCAACATGATCAGAAGAAAAGCCCAAAACAAAACAAACCCAAAGCTGCCTACAACCGGAGGCACTAATAGGATGATATCCCTTTTTGCGTGGAATACACGGGGCTTCAACAAAAAGCGCAAACATAAATCATTTAGTTCTTGGGTTCATTCAACAACACCGTCCTTTGGTTTCTTAATTGAAACTCGTGTTCAAGAAAGCAATTGTGCTGATATCCTTGCTACTGCTCTTCCTGGGTGGCAGTATTTACACAACTACGATCATCACCGTCTCGGAAAAATCTGGGTAGTCTGGTCAGAATATGTTAATGTTACAGTTCTTTTCAAAAGTGCTCAAATCATAACGGTTTGGGTCACCTTAACTACTGGCGAGCAGTTTCTGTGCTCTTGTATATACGCCTCAAATTTTCAGACTGAGAGACGAGACCTCTGGTCAGATCTTATCAGTAACAACACTCAGTTTGCATCCCACGGGGTGCCTTGGATCATAATGGGTGACTTTAATGAAACCCTCTCATCATCCGAACATTCAATAGGCCTTAACCCTTGGAATCAGAGTGGAATGCGGGACTTTCAAACTGCTGTCTCGACCTGCAACCTTACTGATTTGGTGTCCCTAGGCTCCACCTTTACTTGGACTAATAGTCAGCCGGAGAATCCTATTGCAAAAAAAAAAACTGGATAAAGTCCTTGTGGATGAATCCTATTGCAAAAAAAAACTGGATAGAGTCCTTGTGAATGATCAAGTTAATTCAATGGGATGATCACACACTGTGAAACTGAGGAGTAGGTACGTTACCGATGACCCCATTATGCGCTTACACTTTGTCAAAATAAAATTTTGATATAGGTGAACAAGATGGAAGACATTAGTACCTGTCTTAGTTCACTGGCATTGAATTTGAAAAGATTTATAGAAGAGGGATATAGGGAGAAAAGAAACCAGAATATGACTACATGTTTACTCAGATACCTGACGGGGTAAGAGTCCAAGTATCCTCATATCGATACTCCCAAGGTAAAGCATGCTCTTTATTTTATGAATTAAATGAGGTTAGTAGAGGGATGAGTCAAGCTAGTATTTGCTAAGTTGCTGGGAGAATAATTTTGTTGCTAAAGAAGGATAACGTATATAAAGTATCTCTGAGGTTCACACTTATTCGATGCGGCTGCAACATTGTAGTGGTGATGGTTCTGAATTTGAAATTTTGTGAGTCCCTGCTATTTTTCAAAACCTCTTTCAAAAACACTACCGATTTGTTTTGCTTGAGGACAAGAAAAAGAGTAAGTCTGGGGGTGTTGATAGGTCATGGATTTTACCCATTCTCGACCATGATCTAGATATATTTTTAAAGGAGCCCTTTTAGAGTAATTTGCAGGTTCAGGTACTCATGTGAATAAAATGATGTTTTGGGACATTTTGGAGACTTTAAAGAAAGCTTCTGCTGAGATGAAGAATCGATCGACGTTGAAGAGCTATGTCGATCGCCGGTCACCAATTATAACCGATCGATGCAAGTATGTTGCCATCGATCAACGCCGAAGCCATCCGAGACTTATTGAAAAATTAGAAGACTTCAAGTTTCTCAAAAGTTCCATTAATTACATCTTAAGTCCCTGACCACATGTAGGCTATATTACTAGGCTTTTGTATCATTTTAGAGGCAGACTTGCCTAGAGACCTTCTAGACCTAGTTTGGAGAAGAGCAACTTGTTTTACCTTTGAAGAAAGAGAGCTTAAGAGATGGAGATATAGATCTGAGACTACAAAACAGAGAAGATCTTGAACTCCTTTGTTTCTTTACTTTTATTTGCATTTTTCTTGTTTACAAATGATTTTTATTCATACCATCATAACCTTGTCTCTTATGAATATGTCTGAGTAGTCTCATTTGTTAGATTTAGGTTTCTCATAAGGTTGATTTATGTATTGATAATATGATTGCTGATAAGGTGTTCAAATTAAGTTCTTCAACCTAGTTATGCTTAATACTAAATTTAGGATTGATCACCCTTAAATTTAGATCTTAGGATTGATTGAAATAAACATTAGTTTCCTCAATACCTGATTCGTAACTAGTATTGACCTAACTAACAAGATTCACACAAGAGGTTGTTTAGTGAGTTAGAGAACAATATTAATCCACTCTCACAGCTTGCTAGAAGAGCCGTCGATCGATGTGACCATTGTCATATCGATCAATACCTTGAAAAGTGTATCGATCGATGCTCATAAAGACACATCGATCGACACTTTCCCGTGATCAAAATACGACTGTTGAGATCCGAGATCTAAACAAAAGGAACCTATTTGGTTTCACTATTTAAGTTTAAGTTCATGAACAATAAAACCCTAAGGTCAGAAATCAATTACATACTTCTAATACCTGAGATAATACCTAAGTAGCTCATTCCCCAACTGAAAAACCACTTCAAATCAAGTTACTGAACAATCAATTTGTTCGCCTCATTTAAATTACTGTTTTCAATCATTTAAACCAATTTCCAGTCTAGCTTCATTTTAGATACTATAATCTATTGTGTAATCCTAGAGTCTCTGTGAATTCGATCCCTAAGTACTACACTGAACCTCTTATTTAAGAGATTAATTCACTCCTTAAGGTAATTTAAGTGATATCAACACCGTCGATCAATTATTCTATAAGAATATCGATCGACTTGCTTCTAGCAAGTTTTGCGTGTGGGTTGATGAAGTACTCACTAGGGTTCCTAGATCAGTTGTCACTTGTTTCTAGCAATCCTAGGTCAATAAGGATCTATTCAAATAAAAGACCAAGTTGTCTCTTGTGCCTAATGATTCTAAGATCAGGGTTCTAGTTAGCTATTCTAGAACACAAGCATTAAAAACATCCTATTGCTGTATCAAAACTTAGAAATTCTATATTTGGGGCTAATCCTTCATAACCTATTTGAACCCTAAACCTAACAATAAAACTACTCAGACATAGCTAAGCAATTCATAACAACAAGGTATAAAGAAAACTGCA